GAAAAACATGATTTCGTAAGTGGGACTACGCTGCACGTCAAATATAATGGGATCGGCCGGGCATGGCAATATTCTGATTGTGATATTTTGAGCAGTAACGATCTTTCCGATTGCCAACGGCATAATCGTTCGGACAGCCAGACCTGTCAGATATGCAAATAGCGCGCACGTCACAATCAGACGTTTTCCAGTTCTGACTTTGTCGATCATCGAGATGCGATCGCTTGGATTGACGACGTCTCGCCAGTCTTCATCAATCAGAATTAGACAGTTTCGTACTTGATTCTTGTGAAGCAGCACGTAACTGTATTTGATTAGGCCTATTATCGAGTATAGCAAGCAACTCATGACTTTCAGCCTCAACCGAACGTCGGTCAGTATGACGAACATATAAAGAAAAGTCGGGATCATCTCGCACATGATAAAAGCAATACACACAAAAGCCACCGTAATTGTCTCTATCAGTTCCAGATGAAGGAAATTTGTGCGCGCAAATGGCCATATGCCTAACATGCGAAAGAAGAAACGACTCATCGCGAAAGCGTTTTTTATGTCGCATTCGTAATACTTGTTAGCAATCATCTTGAAAGGTAAATATTTTACAATTTTTTATACGAAGACTATCCACTTTATAATATCACGATGTCATATAGTACGAAAGCACTTCTGTAATACCCGATATTGATGCGATACGTGTCTGATCGTCACTGACCGCAACAGAGTACAGTATCCTTGGTTGGGTACAAACGTAATTCATAATTCACGTGCGCCTGCGTTTCGAGGGGAATGAAAAGCCACGTCAAGCAGATGGCTAATGTATGTATGGAGAAACTTTTCAGGAGATTGCGTGCAGATCTATTTATGATTTTTTCCTCATGGAAAGGAACAAAAAGTTTTTTTCCTGGAAGCTAGGAAAGAGTTGACGTTTCGTAAAGGAAATTTATAATAACAGTATAAGCAGAACGCAGTTGTTGACTTCGTAAGGACTTCGTAAGACTTCGTAGGAAAGTAACCGTACTTATTACGCGACTATTTCTAACAATATTGTTTGTTGGTTATTGTGAATATATCTTTGGTTAAAATGTACAGTGCATTTAGACAATAAGATCGAGTTACGGTGCTTCGTATAGAATAATATTTGATCGCGTGCCAAGCTAATGCTTTGGAGTTTTCAGTACCGCGTGCGAGATATAGGCTTCCAAGTGCGATAATGATTTCGAAGCAGAATAGAAAAATATTTATTGCACAGCTCATTTATATCATATAATACTGAAGTGCTGTTTGATACTTTTGTTAGGACAAGAAAAATTATGCAATTAATAATATATTCAATAAAGAATATATTGAAGCTAAGTCTACGTCATATTATGCCTATCACATCTAATTTCTCTATACATGTTTATGTCTTTCAAGCATATTGTAATGTTACCGATGAAATTAGTTTAGCTAGTTACAAAAAACAAACATTGACTGACAATTCATGTGTTCTGGTACATCATACGATATTTCAATCTGCTCGTATTGCGCATATTCGCGTATTGCGCGTATTGCATTCGCACGCAGAAGTTAAAGCAGCAATGTTTTCGTATATACGTGATTGATAGATATGAAATTACATGCTTGGTTGTATTTTAATATCGATTTAATATCAACTAGATGCTTTTGTTTATCTTGCAATAAAATAAAAATACGGATTATATATAGAGAGAGATAAAATAGTAACTGCATAACTTAATTAATGATTAAACTGCTTTGAAATTTTAATATATCAAATATATGTATAGTTAAACCGTACTAAGTAACGTATTTTACACACTTTTTTATGTCAAAGGAATGTATCAAAATCAAAAATACATTTAATACGTTATACTAAATTTTGTTACCATTGTGTGATGAGTTCGTAGTCGTAGCTTCAAGATGAAGACGGACATAAAACAGAAACGATCAGTCAGTTTCACGACCTAGAAAACAAGCATAAAATATCTCGCAGTTATTTTCTTATTATTTTATCATGATGTTTGAAACACATCATACCGCAATTATTCGGTGTGATATTAAGGAAAAATGTGTATATTTCACGTTCTGATTCCAACGGACATTCAATCGATTATAGTTCAAATCATGTGCTTCGGATATTTTAGGAATTTCAAATATGTTTTATGTATAATATTTTATATTATAATAAAGAGTAGTTTTTTTTTTCAGTTACTTGTGACGTAATTTTATTAAATTTAAGAATTATATAAGTTTAAGCGTGCGTTGGATTAAATAATCATAAACTACATGGAAAATGCAAACAATTCTCCAAGTTATTAAAATAAAAAGTTTTTATGTTTTATAATTATCTAATAAATATTTACTTACCTAATTATAGAAAAAACCTGTTACGGTCTTAGATTAAATCTTGGTAGCTTGGATCTTGGTTGATTGATCGTATATCATACGGTCGTGTTTCACTTATTATTATTATTTACTTATTTTTACATCTATTAAATAAATCTTGAAATATATTTATATCTGGATATTTTTCTTATTTTGTATATGTGCGTTCATTAGATGAATAAAAAGTAAATCAAAAATTATACAACAAGGTTTGTAGGAGAGAGTAGGCAAAGTGGACACTTGCAATAAGTTTAAAAAACTAGCACTTAAAACAAAGTAATTTTAATTTTTATTATTTTATACATTATAATAGAAGTTTTAAATGCAATTATTACAACTTTATAATAAATACATAAACTTTTATTGCAAGTGCTCATTTTGCCCCCACATGCCCACTTTGCCCTACTCTCCCTTATCTATTATTATAAGTACCTGACGTCTGTATGTATGTATTCTGTCTGACCGCGAACTACTCATTCGTTAGTGGACCGAATTTTTACCAAAAGTATATGAAGTAAAGATAAAATTTTCCGGGGAGTGCCATAAAGGGTATAGTTTTTTGTTATCGATTTTCTGGAAACCGGTTTTTCTAATTTTTCAGGAAAATAATTGACCGAATTTCAAAGAATTATATATGAAACGGTTGTGTTTTACTTATTATTATTACTTACTTGATTACAATTTTCAAATAAATCCCGTAATATATTTTAATTTGGATACTTTTATTCCTTATATACATTTATTTTATGAATAAAAAATAAATTAGTAAATTAAAAGTTATACAATGAAGTTTGTATACATGCAAATGTATTCAATTTTTTATTTGGAACGGAGTTATTTAAAGAAGAAAAATATTCTTTCTATATTATTACTTCTGATTTATAATTACAGACTTTTATTCTCCTACTGTTTTTTTTCTACATAATTACGATTGGTTTAAACCCTTAAACAACACAATATGATTATTACAAAAGGTCAAAGAGATGAAGTTATCGATGAGGGGAGTAGGGTGTTTACAAGTTTCATGGTAGCCTACATTTTCCGCAGGAATCTAGAGATTAACTATGCAAAATTTGGTTCAGATCAAAGAGTTTAAGAGTCAACAGGGAATGTGCACACAGACATTCTAGTTTATTTTTACATTACGATTAATTCCAAAAATTTACTCAACCGATCGAAGAAGATTTAAATATGTAAGAGACATCCTAACAATCTAAAATAAATGCATACGTAGTTATTAATTGTTCTTCTTTCTCGTAAGAACTTTGTTACTAGTTTCACTAGTACATAATTTAAAGAAGTATTTATGTTACTTACACTGCCGAATGTTCTGAGAGATAGATCAATGAAATTTCCTGCTTTAAGTTTTAATGGAGTTATAGAAATGGCTATGAGTAAAATCAATGATCGCGCTTTCGTATCCGGAAGATGATGCCATTCCAAAGTACATGCTGTTAATGCGACTTTGTCTCCCTAATTTTTATTAATTAATTACAAGCGTCAGCAATGCGAACGAAAAAAAAATAACATTCCGCTAATATTCCGCTTTATTACGGTTATTGTGCGTCTCCGACGGTGAATACCGAGCAACATACCTGATCGATGACTTGATCGCCCATGTAGCAATATATAAATACGTTGAAACCGAACATTATTAGCGCAATAAAAAATGCGCACAGTCGAAAAATATTATGATTTTCCCATTCCTGTAAATACAACAATCTTATAAATTTTTTTATAGAACGCAACAACACAACGCGGAGTACTTTGTCACATCACGTTTATCAAAATTTGTATTTTTCTTGAAACTGATCGTTACATATTTCCGCGCACCATGATCACGTAATATCCTACGAGGCATAGCATGAAAGTAGACCCCAGGACTTCTATTAAACTCGGATACTGAATGGTACTCTGCACCAATTGTAAGAATCTAAAATGTATGGCAAGAAAATTATGGAAATCGTGTTTAACAAAAATTATTAGCTGCTAATCCAAAATTTCTTCGATAATTGATGACACGTTACCCATTTTGCGTAGAACCTATCGCGTATTAAGCTCTGACATAGTCTCTAGTGAAGTTAGAATTATATTAAAGAATCAGCGAATGGACCTCATTATTGTACGCAAGAAAGAACTCACTTCCTTGTTTTAATT